GAATATTTGATGCAGAAAATTAAGTTGGTGATGCACTTTTCTGTACTGTGTGATTGAATTTTTTTAGGAATCAAGGGGCACTTATTCAAAATTGAGGTGGGTGCTTAAGACAATTTTCACGTAGGCGCTTATTCAAGAGGGGCTCTTATTCAAACGGGGCGTTTATTCGGGCGAGTACGGTAATAAAGTTGTGGAGAGCTGGCCCTCCACCCCGTTGGCTAGGAAAGTCACGATTCGTTCGCTGTGGAAAAAATAAAATTATAGCCGGCCTATTATGCCTAGTCTTAGCCTAGGCTAGGTAGGGCCAGGCCTAGCTAGTAGGCCTCTCCTATATGTGTATTTTCTGTATATTTATAGGCCTAGGCATAGATAGTAGGCCTAGGTAGACTCTATAAAATTGAATAAATAAGCCTTTGAACCCCTAAATTGTCATATTTTTTTCAGGGGCTTGCCCATAGGCAATTCAGCATGATATGCCGCAATTTATGGAATATCTGTCAGTGTGGTTGCTTGCATCCCCCATGGAAATAAAATATAAAATGCGGGTCCATACGCCATGCTAAAAGTATGAGAAATCCTTCATTATGCATATCTAAAAAAATTGTTATTTTCAGGAATGCTGAACTGCTTATACAGTTGACAGTTTCGTTGAAATAAAGACAACATGCCATCCAACAAAAGTATGCCAGTATTAAAGGTAGTTCTACTTGGTGATGGAGGTGTTGGTAAAAGTTCATTGATGAATCGCTTTATTAGTGACAAGTTTGACAGCCTCTCATTTCACACCATTGGTGTAGAATTCTTAAACAAGGATATTAATGTTGATGGGGAGAATTACACAATGCAGATATGGGATACAGCTGGACAAGAAAGATTTAAAAGCCTCCGAACGCCATTTTATCGAGGATCTGACTGCTGCTTATTGACGTTTAGTGTGGACGACTTAAAGAGTTTTAAAAATCTTACCATGTGGCAGAAGGAGTTTTTATTTTACGCTGATGTACAAAATCCAGACACATTCCCATTTGTAGTTTTGGGAAATAAGGTTGATGTTAGTGAAAGTGATAGACAGGTTTTTGAACCAATGGTGAAAACATGGTGTGAGGAGAATAACAATACCCCATATTATGAAACAAGTGCAAAAACTGCTGTTAATGTGAAGGAAGCCTTCACTGCAGCAGTGCAGCGCGTCTTAGAACTTGATCACAGATTTGGATTTTCTGAAGGAAATGAACATGCAATTAACCTAAAAA